GAGCATATGTCTATAGGACTTTTTTTCTTAGTTTTTTACTCCTCTACACGCTCCCGAAGTTTTGCGATTTAATTTGGAAACACCCTGTATAGTATATATAGTAATTTAGATTGAATTATTTAAGCATTAAAGATCTAGCTTTGACCGTTATGACCATTACTTCTATTTCTTATTATTGAATTTACTTGTAATTTTTAAATATAATATTATAATAAAAAAAGTATTTGAGATATTAATGATAATAAATTTTGTGTAAGTGTCCGGACATAGATACATGTCCGGTCACTGAGACATTTATCTTAGTCGTATTTTTCGAACTGTACTATATTATTGTATAAAAAATTGAAAATAGAATCAAATTTAAATTTAATTGTACAAAATTTTGTACATACTCGACGGACCATCCTTGAAAAAAGTATACTTGAGTACGCTACCGCAGATATTCTCATTTCGATGTTACGTGAAGCGTACTTCGTTTGCATGCTCTTCACAGATCGGAGGAAAAAAAACAACAGCCCGCATAGACGATGTGAAATTAAAACTGGAACACACGCGCTCGTTGAAACTGTCGCTGTATTGACGCGAAATCCCTATCACGTTGACATTAACATACGTGAAAGTACAGTCGGTATCGCGGACATACCTGTTGTGCGCTATTATTTTTCTATTTACAGTTCAGCTGGTGGTACGAGCGCGCGTACCATTCAAAGAGGAATAAATCTGTCGTCAACACGTACAGATACAGGCGTTCAATTAAAATCGCGCGAGAAATGCGGAGGCGACTGTACTTCGCGTCTTGTTTTTTTCTGTGTGCGATATGCTGCCTTTTGTTGTATGTTTTTGATTAATTTGTCAAGGGCCGTGATTAATACACAACATGAAAATTCGAAAGACATTTGCGAGATGCTTTAATTTTTTCGGTCATTTTCTAGACATATCCTAGGTCTTAATTTTGAAAAATATGCATTGCATATAAAATTGCATAACAAATTGCATACAAAAATAATATAGTATATTATATATTTTTGTATATAAATTCAAGAATATACATAGCACAGCACATACTCTATTTAAATATTAATTACTTGTTTCAAGAGTCCAGATATCCGCAAATTTATCATGAGTTCATCACAAGCATCAAATTTATTCAGAACATATTCTGAATTCCAAGTTTAAAACTTTAATCAAGATTATTAAATTAAAATAAATTTGATTTGTTTATTATATAAAGCCATTTCTTCGATAAATTAAAAAAAATAAATTTTTAAGTACATAATAATTAGATTTTCTAAAAAAAATTTATAATAAGTACATTTTATGATTATTATTAAGAAAATATTTTTTGTTAAATATAACTGTTATTTAAAAGAAAAAAGTAAACTGTGAGTAATCACTTTATTTTTTTGTGTGTATAAAGTCGGGGTATCTCGAGTCGTTTTTATCACTATTTCGGCTAAATCGAAAATTCTGTCCTGCGGAATATATATAGGCGTGACGGATTAACTCGGATCAATCGACGCAAGCGTAATTGAGATCGCGATTGGAAATCGTTTGTGCGCCATAAATCGATCGGGCTTCTTTCCAGCCGCGCGTTAAAGTGGATCTCTCCCTCATGAGTGCAACGACCTCTCGTCCCGTCTCGAGCGTAACTCTCCTCTTTTTAACGTAGATTCAGAAATATATATGTACACACGACGATCGCGCACGGCCAGAGTGAATTGACCTGTATTTCCGAGCGGTAGCAGCATCGAGACGAGCGTAACAATGTATATGCGCGCAGCCGTTGAAATCGCCGCCGGTGGGAGGCCTCCGCCCCACCTTTCATTCGACTTTGACAGTTCCATTATGGTATCGAAGCTAACGGCAAACAGAACGGGTGTAGTTGACGATTGTGAATCAACGTGCTCGCTGGTCCGTCAAGATATTTTTATTGTTTCTTCCACCCCTTTTTCTATTTCGTGCCAAAGCGATCGCTCGACGTGGAAAACGGACACTTCGTTATTCGTTTCCTAGTGTCACAGGTGTGAAATTGAATCGCGATAAACGTGAAAAGTGCATTCCTCGTGGCGTCGATCGTGTGAATGGAAATCTGAATTGATTCGATTGGGTGCATTCAACGAGCATTCAACGTGTCTGTAATGTTCTCCTTGGATCAATTCGGCGAGCGCATCCGGTGGAGTTCCGCCATTGTCGTCGTTAAATTAATTTGATCAATTTCGTCGCGTTTGTCTACTGGCAACCCCAGGAAGGTCGAGACAAGTTTTCGTTGTATAAAAGAGAGCAAAGTGGATCGCGTTAATGAGCTGCGCGACGAGTATGCACCGCACGGAGTTTCAGAGAGTCGCGGTGTAAAGGACTTATTTCGCTGTATGTCACACCGTTAAAGACATTTCACGTGCGGTCTCGTTTGCACGAAGGATTTCTGTGCTCATTATTATTCGCCGTCTTTGACTTTTTCGTACGTGCGTCCCCGATACGAGCCACATAAAGACGAACAACAAACGGTATCCACCGGCGCGTATACGTCGCATTGCATTGGTCATAAATTAATTACGCGTTAATACAACGGAAATTTCAGTTTTGGTTTTGTAAACCTCATTCAGTCGAATCCGATTTCAATATCCATGTCAAATAATAACTATTATTATCTATTTATGACAATCGATCATACAACTTATAAATTCTGCTAGAGAATGTGAATTTCTAGAGAATCGAATTTCTGTTCTCACGTTTTAATATACATTGTAAAAATCACAAAAATTTAAATAAAATTTAATCGAAAATTTTGTAATTTTTTAAAAATTTATTAAAGGCATTTCCGCTAAGAACAAAGTTTGATCTTCGTTGAGATAATTTAATTTCATCCTTATTGAATACTTATAGTATTGAATTATTCAGCCCGTGTGTCACCCTCTGTGCGAGTGAATTATGGAAAAAATATGAATATATATATATATATATAATAATTATATATTTTTCTATATTTTTTATTTTCTGATGTAGTCGAGGCTTGATACGTGTATAAAAATATGTATAAACATACTTTCATTAAAGAGAGATCATTGATAAATACGTCGCACGTAGATATCATACTGTGATATACTTAATGTTACGCATATTAATCACGTATCGTTAGAAAGTTTTAACGATTACCCGTGAATCAACCGGAAAAGGCGGACGAGTGAAAATGACACTATTGATCGCTGCCGAGAGTAGCTTAGTAATAGTTAACCCAATTAGTTAGTGTCAAATGCGCATTGAAGCTCAAATGAAATTCAAGGTGGTCTCCGTGCATGGAAACCAAATTTAGAGAGAGAGATTTCAAGAATTATTACCTATTAACAAGGATCGATCCGATGTGCTTCGATTATTAACTTATCGAATTATTAACTATCTAAATTTCTATGACGATTATGACGACATAATTGAATAAACAACTGAATAAACGATTTTAACTCATCACTTAACAGTTACCTTTGTGCGTGTGCTATCTGAAACTACGATTCTCTAATTTCATTTTACGTAACAAAGATATAATAATTTCGAGTAAACACCACAGGATATTATGTTAACACTGAAAATCTTTTCCTTAATTTGTGCTACAACCAACCGAGATATAACGGGTTTCTGCTTTAATCGGATTTATAGGTTCGTTGGATACCGAGCGTATCTTCTCTCTAACGTGATTATTCTTCTGCCAGTTAACCAAAGAATATTGTGGTAATTCGCGAATGTTATTTACGAATTGAATTAAAACGTATAAGCTGTGCAAAGAACGCGACGATGAGCTCGAATCGAAGCGGGACTCATATCCCGGAACGGTGAACACTTTCGTGACGAACAGTGATGATCACATATACGATGATCGAGCCACGCAGTGACAGGGTGACGGTCTGCTCACCCCAGACTCAGCACCATTGCTATCAAGTGATACGAACCACCAGAGTGCACCAAAGTTCGCGAAGCTCGAAGATGGTGACCGTTCAGGAAAGGGTCGTCAGGTCGCGTCTTCAGTTGGGTTACTCCACGCCGACGTCATTCATCAATCGGTATCTATCTATTATTTCTATTTCACCAAAATCTAACGACCTATCAAATTCGATAACGGATGACCGTTATCAATTTATCATTTATAATTGACATGTATCGAATATATACTTATTTCGTCATTCCGTCAGAATTTTTATATCTTTATATCATTTGAATTTTTATATCAATTGATAAAATGTTCAATGTGTATTTTATCAAATATTAAATATAAATATTTAATAAAATGTATTGACTATTTCGCGGTTTAATTCGTTTCTATATCTTTATTAAACGTACATCTCTATGTCGATTTGTGTACAATGACTTTAAAGTGCACTCAGTGCACTTTTTCTCACTAGTTCTGCCAATGAAAAACGCTATTAATCTAATTTAAGTCGCCACTGTTCCTATTCAATATATCGTTATTATATACCGTTATTATATATTATATATCGTTATTATATACTAAAACAACGATTAAATTTTACACTATGTAGCGTCAAATTTAACCATTGTTTTAGAAAATAACGAAGTATTGAAGGAACAGTGGCGACTTAAATTAGGTTAAATTTGACATTATAGATTTAACAGTGTTGTGATTAGGGATGCACCGGATCGTAAAAATATCGGATATCGGATATCCGAAAAGAATGTAACATCGGATATTCGGGAAAGCAATTTTTCGAGTCTTATATCCGATATTTTCCGAATATCCAACCGGATTCCGTGACAATGTAAAAAAAAGAGGCTGAGTAAAAAAAGAAAAAAGGGAGCAAAAAGGTCTGTATCAATAGAGATGATATAGAGAAAAAAATTGTAATTTTGCAGCAATCTATAAGACATTATAGCATTATGAGTATGCATACTTATTTATAGAATATATTTATAATAAAAAATCAACAATTTAATGATATAAAATTTCAACCGGATGTATTTCCGGATACTAATGATATCCGACTATCCGGTCGGATAGTAAAAAAGTATTTTAGGAAAATTACACCGGATACCGAATACTCTTCGGATATCCGGTGCATCCCTAGTTGTGATTGTAGTTTATTATTTATATCTTATAATATTTTTCTTTAATTTCTCTGCACTTTATTAAATCTGTAAATTTATGTAATTCGTTAAGTGTATTATAAATCTGTACAGAAACGCAAATTTGTATATAAACGGAAGGAAATAGACAAATTGTGTTGAAGAAAAGGAAACTGCTAACATCCTATCGGCGCTATCTCGACGAGATTCGCACGAATGTAATTATCATACCGGAGGAAACGTAATCTCTCTAAAGCGGCATCATCTCCTCGCCTCTTCCTCTCTAATACATAGATAGACTATCGCAAACACGCGCACGAATAGCACGCACATGCTCACGCGGATGGTAGAGAGCAAAATTATTTCTCAGGTAGAAGGTAGGATCTGGTAGGATCGCTCGATGCTCGCGCAAGCGTACGCCCTCGCGCATCTACGCCGGTAATGGCAATCAACGGTTGTTAATTGCTCGATGATAATTAGTCCACGGTGGCGCGCGAGCAGCGGTTGTGATAATAGAGCACGCTTTAATAATTTCCGTAATGAATTTGAGACACCGTATACACAGACTTTTTCTTCGTACGGTATACCTCATAGCACACTTACCTGACAACGACTTTTTCTCGATACCAAAAATGTTACGTATGCCGAAAGTCACTTAGCGATCGGACATAGAGTTAATGACGTTAAACTTTATTTACAAACGGAAGTCGGCGGAATATAATTGAATTTTCCTAAAATCTGTCGTCCTTTTCATTTATGTATATATTTTTCGTTCATATATGTATTATACACTGAAAAAAATTTACTAAATCTTAATATATATTTCTTTGAATAGTACTAAATAAACATTTATTTACATAAATATTTACTTAGAGTTTATCCTGAAAATATTAATAGTTCTGGGACAACATTGTATTTTGAAGAATTTTGTGTAAATTTCTTTCATTCATTAATAAAACTATAATAAAATATATAATAAGTTTGATTAATTTTACTGAAGTGCATGTTAAAAATCTTTAAAATATTGTATTGTACCATAAAACTACCATATTTTCAGGGTAAATTTTAAGAGACAATTCTGTCCATGTAGTTAATCTAATTAATGATTTTTATATCAAATAAACATAATTAAATATTTACTTAATCAACTATTCAAATTAATATTTATTAAAATTTAATATTTTTTTAGTATACTTATTTATTATATCTGTCTTTTTATTTATGTTCTGAAAATTATTTCTGCAAAGCATCTCGTAAAAGGCACCGTAATATCGGGAAATACTTATATATTGAAAGAATGTTTTTCTTATGTTTTGATGTCTCGTCAAGTCGTACAAATGGAATTAAAATTCATCTCGAATCGATTTTTGCGTGAGTTTGCACCGCGGAATTTATTAATATCGTTCTGATAAAATGTGCCATAACTGCGTGCCGTGAATAAGCGACGTTAGGTGTAATTGACAGGAGCGATGGACACTTGCGCAAATCCTCTATGTATCTGCATCTGCCGAGATGTCTCATAAGTAGAGCAAAGACGTCCTTAAACGCATCTCTTCGAGAGCTTCGTGGAAATGAGCTGTCAACTGATTTTCACATCGTAATTGATCACGAAAGAGCCGACGCTTTCATCAAACTGTCGTTATTTGTGTCTATAAAGCTTCGTGATTGAACTCATAATATTTTCATTTCACACATTTTTGCATTTCTCTTTTATATATGTATGCGATGTTTACTTGACTCTTTCATGGTAATAACTCAAAAATCACATTTTTTTAGTTGTATTTGATCACTTTCGAAGTAAAGTATATGAAAGAAAAATGTGAAATATACAGGATGCTTCAGAAATAGTTGGCCAAACTTTAAGAGCATATTCCACTCATTATAAGAATGAAAAAAAGTTATATAAACATGGATTTGGAAACTTATGTTTGGTTTCCTTTCCTAGTTATAAACATTTTATTTGTTTATACATATTTACGTTGGACGACATGCCTCGCTCGACGTTTCATGAATTGTACTTCTATTTACCTTCTAAAGTAAACAAAAAGTTATTAGATAGGTCTGTATGAAATTAGAATCAATCTTTATTTAAGCATTTAATAGTGAAGTATTCATCAATATAGCACACCCAGAGAAAGATTTCTTTCATTTAAAGAAATGTTTCTTTGCTATACGGTTAAAGAAAAAATTATTTTTAAATCAAAGAGAGAGAGAGAGAGAGAGAAATGACGTTCAAATCAAAGAAATTTTTTTCTTTAACCGTATAGCAAGGAAATATTCTTTGAATCGAAGAAACCTTTCTCTGGATGCAGCTTATTCTAACATCGAATTGGCAGATATCTACTACATGTATGGGCGAGCTAATGGAAACTGCAGAGAAGTTCAACGTCTCTATCAACAAATCTCTCTTCAAAGACGATCATTTCCAGCAATTTCTGTAATGAAAATATAGATATAAATAAATAAAAAATATTTATAACTTGGAAAGGAAGCGTTTCCGAACCCATGTTTATATGACTTTTTTCATCCTTACAATGAGTGGAACGTCTTAAAGTTTAGCCAACTATTTCTGAAGCACTCTGTATATGTATATATATATATATATTATATATATACGTATACATTGTGCAATTAACGCAGTTAATTCACAAAGCAAATGATATGACGAATGTGACTCCGCCCGGAGAGTTCGCAATATGCAAATGGCTTATATTGTGCGCATTTAGGCCAATGATAATGAGCGTAAGCTATCACTACACGGTAATTCAATTCTCTCCTCTCCAGGAACAAAGGACGTTTGCATGTACTTCGAGGATGTATCAAGTTACATGTTAAGAAGTTAATGAGGTGCTACGTGTCTCTTGCTTTCAACGGTGAAACTTGACTAAATTGTAAATACATTGTATCGTTATCGTTATGTCAAATGCACAGATAATAATTTATGTATCTATACGCGATGGGTGAATACTGCGGTTTTATCTCATGCAACTGCATTTGTAGATATACTACGACATTTTCTCGCAATTACATTTATAGATCTAAAGAGTTAAATATTACGAATACAAAAATGACGTTATAATAATATAATAATCAGTACGATTATCAAACGTTTAAAACGTCATGCAATATTATATTCAAATACATGAAACGTAAATAGAATATGACATTAAATATATTTACAAAGGAACATAATTTTATCTCCATTTAATACAGGATTTCTGTCTGTGATTCTCACCAAATCCTATCGCATTTTCACAATGTTAAATACCTGCAGAATATTTTCCATTCAAAACCACGTATTAAGATATTTAATAAATTGTAATTAGCAATTGCATTAGCAATTGCGTTATAAATATAATCTCATTTATCTATTCATTCCCTGATATATAGTATTCCCGAGGGGGTAACCACTAGCTGAAATATTGTCCCACAGATTACATGATTTCATATGATTTCACCTGATTACAAATAATTTTTTTCGCTACATATGAAGTAATTTGGTAAAATATACGATTTTATTTAATATTATACTATGATTTCTCGTGGTTGCATATGTAATTATGGGATTATACATATGAATTTTATAATGACTTCGAGGACTCTGTCCCACGATTACATTAAGCGATTATCCCCTCGAGTATTCCTTAATATCAAATCGATTGAAAAGTCCGTTCACTTTCCTATTTCATTGTACGTAAAAATGATATAGGCAAAAAAATATATACGAATGAGTGTCTTTCAAATTTAAATAATCTAATATTTTCCTGAGACGCGATCTTTTTTCCGTGGATCATAGTGAAATAAGGACTTGTAGGCCCTTAAGAAGCACCTCTTGAAAAAGGACGGGAAGAAGCCGGTCGTACATTTGGCCGCCTGTGGCATCTTCCCTAAAGAAAAAACACCGAGCCAGGTGCGTGTCGAGGCACCATCGGCACGGCAGGCAGGCGGCAGGGTCCCGTGCCGCTTCTGCGAAGCCGTGTCGGGGAGGCTCTGGATAGCACGCGCTCGTGTGGCACGCGAGTCGCAGGCACGATGGAGCAGATGTTCCTCCTCCTTCTCCTCTCTCCTCCGGGGAAGCTCTTAATGCCATACCGTCCCTCGCGTTTATTTCCCTTTATACGCAGGATCTCGCGTCTCCGGCAACATATCCGCTCCTACGGGTCCGCTGATATTCTCCCCGAAGAATTCAAACCGTTTCGTAAAAGTACGATTGATAAAAAAAATATCGATTTACTTTGCCCGCAACTACGATGTAGAGCAGGTTTCTTCCTCCGGGAGGTTTTAACTGTACGTTCGTTATATTACGAATTATACACGTGCTTTCTCTTTTCCAGAAGCAGATGCTTCCGGAGAGCTTTCCAACGGTTGCATTTATAAGTTTCACAATTGATTTTGTAAAAGTCCGATATGTAATAAAATTCGTTCTACCATAACGGTAATGATCTTTAATATATTCTTCCTCTGAAAAGTTATGATGGTATGCTTTCTGAATTCATCTTCTTTTGTGCCTAAATTAGAGACACTACTTCTATTCTCACACGTTTTCATATTAAAGTTTTTGAACTTTATACTGATTTAGAAAGATCTATTATGTAAATGTGATTCGGTGCTTCTCTATTAAAAGAAAGTAATTTAATTCTCAATTGTGCTGAAGATCCAGTTTTAGCTTCAATTCTAAGTGAAGATTTAAATGCTTGGATCTTCGAATTGAAGTTTAAAACTCATCGAAATCTCTCTTATATGCGGTTACGTGTTGCTTCTGCGTTACCCATCGCATTTATATTGTTCAACTACATTATCGTATAACATTTAATGATACACGCACTGATTACGGCAGGGAAATACGACTCAGTTTACGAGAACGATGCACATTTTATAACGGAGCGGTACCATCGATTTCTCGACTACGCTCTAATTTTAATTATCTAGTAATACGATTCTAGCCTACGCAGATACATTTCATCATTATTTCTTCGTGTATTACAGCAATATTTTCTACTAAGCATTCATTGATTTAACGGAGGGAGTCTTCGCTCTCGCAAAATTCGAGAGTCGGACGAATCATGAATCATTCCTTACAACTCTTGGTCGCAGTCGTCTCGCGTTTCATCTCTTCAACCGGCATATGCATTTGTCATATGTTGCGCATTCATTTGCTTAAGTTACGTAGGATTCTTACGTAAGTCATTTAATTAACGCGCATTGCGTAAGAAGTGGTCTTCGCTGCGGAAGGTTGAGTGTCACGGTCAAATACATCGTCGTCGATGTTGCTATCGCCGCGCAGGTACACCTGCCAGATGCACACCGGCGAGGATACGTTGAAGATACAGGCATATAATACGCACCTTTATAGTATCTCGAAGGGGTGAGGGGAAGACTTATATCCCTCATCCTCAATCCACGATTCTTTCGGGGATTTCTTGTCCCGATGGTTCCGAAAAAGCAGACCTCGAGAGCGCCAGCTGCTCCTCTTCCATCGCCAGTTCGTCTTTGGTGTTCGAGGTGGTCGACACGCGGGACACGTGCATCGTTCTTCGCGAGAGAAGAAACGGCTCGGTGGCGCAATCGTGGTGTAATAATTACGCGCAAGAACTAGCTGTGCATTGAGAACGTCCGTGGCACACCGCATCATAGACAAAAATAGATCGCGCAATTCGATACACGTGGAAAATTGTCCGAGTCCTCGGGAGCAACATGATCATTTGCGTTTACCATTTCAGAGGGTACGTCCTCTTTATTCTTATGATTCGCATATATGCGTCGCGTATATGCGCTTGTCTAATAATCAAAAACACCTGGTGTTGCAGCCGCGTAACCGGGGTGATACGATGTCGTTTATCTGATTTCAATTATCTCCGTCCGGATTTGCCGTACAATGTTTCTTTGTACAGGTTGTCTTATATAAGCTAGTTTTTCCTCGAAAGGATAAAAAACTAAATTGAAAATCTAGAGATAAAATCTCTTCGTTTGAGATGCCGTTTTCAAAAGAAGAACAAGAGAAGAAAATTGAAAAATTAATGTGACAAATTTATTTGAACATTTCTTTCATTTTTTTTAATTCGTGTGGTCCATAATAATTTATTCAACTCTCGAACTTTGCGAGAGCGACGAATCGCCCTCCGTTATAAATGAATACTATAAATGTCCACTTTTATCAATATAGATTAACTTTAATCTCGATTTAATTTACTCTTTATTCTTTTCTAATAGAACTAGAAAAAGATAAAAGTAAGTTAAACCAAGATTAAAGTTAATCTACATTGGTAGAAACGACTGTAAGAAAATACTGTCCAATAATAGACAGAAAAATAATGAGACATCTGTGTAATCTGAAAAGAATGGTGTTAACATGGACAATTAAAATTGGAGCGTGATCGAGAAATCAATGGCTGCGTTCAACAGAAAAAGCAGCTTTGCAACTGTTGTAAAATTCTTTCACCCAAAAAAAAATATTCTGTCGCAATAAGCGGGAAATTCCTCTTAGCATCTCCTCGAAGCAAAAAATCTTACATTAATCTTACATTAAGCAGGTGCGTGTATTTATAACGTGTATTCATCTATAAAAATGAGAATATATGAACTATGATCAAAAATAAATTCCTCTATAGAAAATTCTATTATAATAACTCGAATAGCCTTTTGAAATAAAAGGATACACAAAATACTAGCGGCACGCTTACTTGTTAGAAGAGGTTTGTGATTTACAATGCTACAGTAGTACGCGTGCATGTCAGTACATGCAAGACATTCTTCTAGTGTTGAGAGGATCGCAATCCTAAATCTAGTACTTTAGAGTTATATGAAATTCCTTTATTTGTAGAGTATTCTCTTGAGGTCATATATAAATGGAAAATCCTCTGACATTAACACGAAACTGCAGAATATTTTTTTTGGGTGTTAATATAATTGGTCTTGCCGTTAGTTCCTCACTGGATCTAAATGTATAAACCAATCATATTGAAGAATTTTACAACAGTTTCAAAGTTTCTTTCTCTGCTAATCGCAGCCAATGATTCTCTGTGATTTTTGTCATGTCCGTTTTGTCAAATTCTTAGAGGTGATTTATCAGAAAAATATTTTGCAATTGAGAGATACAGAAGTAGGGGAAGAGAAGAAGTTAACAACCTGATATTAGAAAGTAAAGTCTCACGGACGTGATGAGCAAAAATTAATTAACATTTGTCCGCCTTTTGCGCAGCTTCCCGACGAAGGTGGAGAGACCGTCGCACAGCAGCACGGCCGCTAGCCAGATCCACGGCAACAGCATGCACGGCGCGTACTCGTCTGGTAGCCAGACGTCCCTGTCGACGACGTCGTACATCACGGGCCAGTCCTACATGCAGAACCAGAATTACGCGCACGGGCCCCCGTATCCTGCCGCGAGCGTGCAGGTCTATTCGCACAACGCGACAGGCTACTCGCAGCCGCAGAGTTACGGCACCATGGTGCAAGGCTTTGGCGGGCAACCACAGTCCTCTGGGTATCAGCAGAATCACCTTAAGAAGGGCTCGGTCCGTAACGGCGATGTGCTCAAGCGATGCCGGCTGCAGACCGCGTAAGTCGTAATCTTATATCCTCTTTCGCAACCGCGAACAAACAACAGATACGCAGAGAACCGTAACGGTCCCCCTGCGGATGAAAAATTGTATTGAGGATCGTAGCCAACGGAATAAATCGGAAGTTAAAAATTGCGTGGTTTCGTTTTGTACAGGTACGAGTTGTCGCAGGATCTACTTGACAAGCAGATTGAGATGCTAGAGCGAAAATACGGCGGCGTGAAGGCGCGGAATGCGGCACTGACGATTCAACGTGCTTTTCGGAGGTATACATTGCTGAAGAAATTCGCGGCTATCACGGCGATGGCCAAGGCAGAAAAGCGATTGAGCAGGAAGCTTCAAGAATTGGCGATCGACCGCTCGGGTAATCTCAACGATCACGAAAGAATGGTTTATCATAATCAAATATACATTCAACAGGCACAGTCCGCCAACAGGTAATTAAAACGTTTCTCCGCGGAAGTTACTATCGTTACGTTAAAAAAAATTTATTGCCCTAAATTAACTGCGAATCTAGTAGACCGATGCCGATCCGAAGCATGTCTCTCAGGGAAAGGCGGCACGTGGACAACTCGCAATCGCCTATACCGAGAAGTCAGAGCGGTAGATGCGAGGTCCAGGTCAGTGGCCATCAACACACAAATCATAATTTGCATCAGAGCGGTAGACATACACCCTCATTGGCGCCCAGCCCATGCAATCGACATCAGCAATTACCACCGAGTCCCTGTTGGGAATCGAGCTCCCAGGAAAGCGGCTCCAGTATCCATTATTACAATCCACAGGTGAGCGTCGATAAACGTAATGACAAAAGAGACGATCATATTGTAAAATGAACGGACTGATAATTTGTTACAACAAAATATGTCTTGTTTTATCACCTTAATTTGATAGAAAGATGCAATTTCTGTTTAATGCAGGAAACCTTGTGCGGCCTGAGACAAGAAACGCCGCCAAGAGACTTGCTGCGAACACCATGTACATCGCCGTCGACGCCGCACAATCTACAGACGACTATATCGCAAAATTGGAACAACGCCAACCAGCTTGGTTCTGGCAGAACGAGATGTTCCGGTAAAAAGGTTCCCCCGGAGGTGCCGAAGAGAACGTCTTCTATCACCTCGAGATCTATGGAACCACGACACAATGGTCTTAGTAAAAGCGTGGAGAACGGAAGTCTAAGTTCGGTGCAGAGTTCCGGTAGTGATTCCACCAATTGCGAAAGCTCCGAGGGCGATGCTCAGAGAGGGTCTCCTGTCTGGAAGCACAAAGGGATTGTGAGTATAGTTGACTTTCTCTCGTTATATTTACGCTTTACTTGCTCGTTTAGCGCAAGTAACGGCGATTTTCTGAGGACGTAAGCGAAAAGCGTTAACGGAACTGTTGTGATTGTGAAATCAGTCGAGTTCGCCGGAACATCAGGAATGCGCGAGTCATACTGCTGACACGGCGGCAATGACCGCTAACGTGAAGGAGCTTGGCCACTCACATGCCAGCTCCGGTTATCAGCTTCCCCTAATGGACCATACGGAAAGTCTGCCGCCTCAAACGAGCTACAAGGTATCCGAAACAGTGAGAAAGCGACAATACAGGGTCGGCCTAAACCTTTTCAATAAGAAACCGGAAAGAGGAATCAGTTACCTCATTAGACGTGGATTTTTGGAGAACAGTCCGCAAGGAGTCGCCAGATTCTTGATCAGTCGAAAGGGATTGTCCAAACAGATGATAGGAGAGTACCTTGGGAATTTGCAGAACACTTTCAATATGGCAGTGCTTGAGTGAGTGGTTTAATATACTTAATATTTTAATCATTGATGAAAACAAAAGAACACATTTTTGTTAATAAAAGATTGTCTCATTATAGTTATACATTATTTAAAATATTTTTTTTGATAACTCTGTCGTAATATATTTAAAACATGTATTTTTTATTACTTATAATTATTCTATATCTATATCTACTATAGATATATCTATACTATAATTTAATACTTATAATTTGCAGATGTTTCTCTCAGGAGTTAGATCTCTCTGGAATGCAAGTGGATGTCGCTTTACGAAAGTTTCAAGCCTATTTCAGAATGCCTGGCGAGGCGCAAAAGATCGAGCGGTTAATGGAAGTCTTTAGTCAACGTTATTGTCAATGCAATCACGACGTAATATCGAGGCTGCGGTCGGCTGATACCGTTTTTGTCTTGGCCTTTGCTATTATCATGCTTAATACGGATTTGCATACACCCAACCTAAAGCCTGAGCGCAGAATGAGACTCGAGGATTTCATAAAGAATCTCCGAGGAATTGATGATTGCGGTGACATAGATCGGGATATCCTAGTTGGCATTTACGAACGAGTGAAAGATAACGAATTCAAGCCGGGCTCAGACCATGTGTCGCAAGTAATGAAGGTCCAAGCGACTATTGTTGGAAAGAAGCCAAACATGGCGCTGCCACATAGAAGATTGGTGTGTTACTGCAGGCTCTACGAGATACCGGACATTCATAAGAAAGAGAGACCTGGCGTTCATCAGAGAGAGGTTTTCCTCTTTAACGACCTGCTCGTTGTCACGAAGATATTGAGCAAGAAGAAGAATAGCGTAACTTACACTTTCAGGCAGAGCTTTACACTTTGCGGCATGGTGGTTACTTTATTTGAAGTTCCGCGTAAGTTTTAATGAAATAAGTTTATAAAAATATTTAAATATTAACGTAATCTTTATTTCTGATTGTTACTATTTGTCTTGCAGATTATCCATATGGCATAAGACTCTCTCAGCGTGTCGACGGAAAAGTTCTAGTCACATTTAACGCTCGAAACGAGCATGACAGGTGTAAATTTGTGGAAGACCTTAGAGAATCTATCAGCGAAATGGATGAGATGGAAACTTTACGTATCGAAACTGAACTGGAGAGACAAAAGAGCAGCAGAGGTGCGCGGGGCGGTGCAGAAAACAGAGACTCCGGCGTCGCTGATGTAGAGATATGTCCTTGTCCCGGAACTTGTTCCGATAGAACAGAAACAGTCGATGTTGACACGCAATTGAAACGTTCCGCCCTTAGTAATTCTCTTCTTGATATACACGAGCAGTGTAAGTAGGAAAAAGTATATATTTATATTTTCATATTTATATTTTAGCAAATATATGAAAATATAACGTGTCATTGTATGTATTTAGTTGCCGGTGAGAAGCCACAGCGTCGCGGAAGCGTGGGTTCTCTGGACAGCGGTATGTCTATTTCATTTCAATCTACTTCTGCCAGCTCGATGAGCCAAGGCATTAAGCATCCTGGACAAGTTCATCCTATTCATCCAGGAGCTACAATTCCTGGGGCCGGTGGTAAGGGACTGGCTCAGCAGCCATCTTTTTTAGGAGGTCTCTTCGCCAAACGAGAGCGAAAACTGTCGCAATCTGAAGAGTCCGGCCCTTACAGTCGTATCACGGAAGTATAATGTACTCTTCCAGTAACATAAACGAGGTACACTTTCGTATACCTGTTTTCTTCTAGTACGCTTCGTGTTTTTAATAAGATGAAGACGTCTCGCGTTTATGTCGAGAATTTGAATAGCAATAATTATTCTCTAATTTATTCATATTAATAAAATTGCGATTTTCATTTCTTCTACTACTACTTGAAACTTCTCGTCGTGCAGTTTTATCTTCTCTTAAAAAAATAGTAAATTAATACAAGCAGCAAGACTGCCGTGAACTGTTCTATTACCATACTAATAGAGTAGTGTCTTTTTATACGTACATCACGAAGCGTGCTAAAGGATTAGAGCGCTAATGACGACAGCTAATAAAGACGTAAATCTGAAGGATTGGGCAGGATCCAATCGAAATCACTTGGCGCATTTAAAAAGAAAAAGAAAATTTTAACCTATTCTCCCCTCCCGAGACTATGTATAGTATTTATTCATCTAAAACAACTAATGGACACATTTTTCACACTGTATTTATAATTTACGAAGACGCGATATTGAATGATAGAATTGTGTGTAGATAATATTATTACATTTTTGCTTAGTTTTACACAGACGGGCGTTAACGAGTAGAATTTAATGAAGAGAAAATCGTAAATCACAAGAATTGTAAGAATACGAGATACCTTATCGAGAATTTCTAATAGTAATCGCTATCAGCAAGTATTATCACCATCACCAATTCGAAAAATTGTAAATAATAGGCTTATAACGACGTTCGAAACGAGTTGTCACGTGTAACAAAAAGAAATTAGTATAAGGGAAACGATAAGCAATCTCTATCGATGTTAGGTGCATGTTGATGTCTAACGGTTTTTATTAACGGAAACGTGAAGTTTGAATGTAGCAATGAAATACGACTTAATATAAGACGTAAGACGTGTTTGTCATTATAGCGATCTATTGATAATCATTCACGAGAAGTAGTTTTTGCTTATGTATGTTGAAATTTTGACTCGAAGTTGTTCACATTTTCAAAAGGGAAAAAAAGGAGCGAAAAGAAAAAAGCCATCATGTTAAATATATCCACGATTAATTCGTTTCTCGTTTTTCGCGGCGAGAATAGACGATAGATCTAAACGTCGATAATACCGTCGCGAGAGTTAATCACGTAAGCTAAGATACATACGCGAAATAAAGGGGAAAAAAAGGAAAGAAAAAAACGCGCATGCCTTATATACTGCCATGATAAAAAAAATCTCCCGCGACCGAGAAACGAACTAATGAAATCACAATCGTAGAGGAGGTCGGAAATTTTTTCCAAGAGCTGTGGAATTGTATGACAAACTAATTGATCATGTACATAGCGCTGATCGTGACATCAGCTGGCTGTAAACAAGCAAACGGCGTTCAGTAATTTAATGATAATCTCCCGTTAAAATAACGCATCTACATAGGAGGAGTGTTTAATATAATTCTACTCTTTAGATTTCTATTCTCTTTACTTGTGCTCTAATTCTTTCTTAATATCGTGAATATCAGACGTGTGTTTAACCAAAAGATTTTAATGAAGTTACAAAGAGAAAGGAGAGAGATTGAAGGAGACCCAGTAGGCTAAGTCTACTTAAACAGATTTTGCAAATCACTAACAAATTTTGATGCAGAATCTGTTATGTCAGATGCTGGCGACAAAATGCTACAAAAAATGTAACAGAATTTGTTTGTATGATTCGACACCCTGATAGGCAAATTGTGAAAACACTGCACATTAATGGCATCATGAACTTACAACTATTTTGCAATAATTGCGCTAAGATGATTCGCTGTATTGTTATTATTTTGCTGAAATACTATGTTGAAATTAATTGAGCGAACAGTTATTGATATTTTAGAAAAGATCAAAAGTTTTTACATCTGTTTTTGTAAATATACCCGTAATTGCAGATCATAAATTTTATACAAGATTTTGTTATATAATTTAATAAGTGTCATCCTATCGGGGTGCAGCTAATTGACAGAACATAAGAAAGTAGTCTTAATGCGGACACAGATGGTACTTGATCTGCTGAATTTTTCTAATCGAATTTATTATTAATCTTTTGGCATTCTGCGGACAGTTTGCTTACTGGGGAGAAAAAGAGATGCTTTTGGCTGCATTGTTAATTTCAGCGATAAGTTTTGTAATTATCGTTAACTTAAGATTAAGATTCGTTAGAGAGAACGAACTTGCAATCGGTCAAAGATATTGTGCAAAAAAGATTCTCATTCTCTTGTATTGTAAGTATCAGAATTTTTCCAGCGCGCTGAACGAAAAGCGATGTCTAGAGATAAGTTATACCGGGCTGAAAATTTTTATACGTAACCGCATGATCGAACTACGTTCTAATTTTGCGCCTGTCACGTCTGCTAATAACTGTTATCGATTGATCCTTGACACGTACGACCCCTATCGCTAATGTACTTTATAAACGTTGTAAACGATCGAATGTTGAACACTCCGTTCTATTTATGATTCTAATAAAGAGAAACGAGAAAAGGAGCAGAGGAATTGTTGAAGGAATTGTCGAGAGACAATTTACGTATTCGTGGCTTATCGACAATACATTTTGTTTACAGAAAGAGAGAGAAAGAGAGATAAACGAAGGAACATTTCCATGCCTGTTGCGAACTTTTCTTCATCAGGTGCTTTCCATTTGGTGATACAAGTCGTTTTATCTTTATTGCTTATTAAATGTAAAGAAAGATGAAACGATGCTTGTATCGACTTGTGCCATTAAATGGAAAGCACCCATATTAAACGAGCTACTCGCGCACGCATCACCGACATCGATTCTAGTCTTTCTCATCAACACGATATACGCGATACGATCTCGTACGACAGAATACGGGATTACCTCGCGAAGATAATCCTTTAATGTTCATTTCTATCAATGTAGATTAACTTTAATCTCGGTTTAATTTACTCTCTCTCTTTATTCTTTTATAATTCTTAGAATTTATAACTCTTAGAAAAAGATAAAAAGTAAGTTAAACCAAGATTAAAGTTAATCTACGTTAGTAGAAATGGACAGAAATTTGTACAGAGACACATGATCGACTTTAGATGCAGCGTTAACGTCACAAGTATGCTAAGTTCCACGGACGAGATCGCGTCAATTCTTCTCACTGGCCACTCACTTAAATAATCTGAATTCTGTGATAATCTCGCGCGAGGACAAGAAAAAAAAAAGACTGATTAGGAAAACCCCAAATTTTCTTACATGTTCTTTTTTTTGATCACTTTTTCCCACCCTCACAAAGAAAAAGGAATACACTTTATTCAAGCAATGAGAATGAGATGACTTGAGCATCGCCTCGCACTATCCCTCGAATTTGATACCTATTGTCATACTGTCGTTGTCAGTCGCGTTAAAGTAGAAATATGTATTCTTGTTAACGGAAAAATATCAGGGAAGAATGGATTGCACCAAATTGGCGCGATCTTTAAAGTCTGATGCCCGATTGAGCACGTCGCAGCCGTTATTCGGCTTACTCTCCGAGAAAGCCTTGCTGGTGAGAAACCGTGTATAATCAAGATCAATCTCCCCTTTTCCTCTCGCCCTCTCCTCTTCCCTCTCAATGCCAAATTATAGTAAATTTCTCCCTTGTTAGTCTAGTAAATGCTGTAAGTACACTGTGTTAATAAATAACTCTGAATCCGAAATACGTGTATTTTCTTCATCAGTATCAGCTTATTTATCATCTCTGACGTCATGCTGTGACAATGAAACTCCGATTAACATAATCGGCGATTAATTTATCGAATAATCTGTACCGTTTTGTTAATAAGGATCAGCTATTAATTTTTTGTTGTTCGCATACAAAGAAAGATTTGATTAGCAATCACGGATCGTAGACAGAAATTTTGCCGTGAAAAATTCTACCGGTTGTATTGAACACCAATTAAGTTAATCGGAGTTAATTGGCCGAAATCGTCCTAGTTTTCCAAGTAACGTATTCTGTATTTTTATTAATGGATAAAACGGACAAAATTATTATAATTGTCATTTAATGTACAGGAAAGACACAATGGACCTAGTCTGCGTGTCGTTGGCTGGCCCTAACTGGTGGCTGCCTCCCGAGATTATTATTATGCACAGGAAAAATAAAGATTAAAGACGACAAAATTATATGCGGAAAGAAATTTTACAATTCTACAGTCAAATTAATTTGTCAATTAATCAAGTTAACCGTTTGCTCTAATCTTCCGAAAATAGAGTGAATTAAAGTAATCTCAAATCACCATTAATTTTGTGATATAAAATTTGAATTGAACAAACAAACAATTAATTACTTTGAAAATTTCCAATTTTTAGCGTTTAATTTAAGAAATTCTTATTCCTGATAAATTTTTATCACTCTGGCAGCAATAAATTTTTATCGATCTGGTTGCTTCTATCAAAATCGAGATAGACTATAGAAAGAGGCAATCCATACAGCACAGATGATTCCAGCAATATTACAGCAACATTACAATTTTTCAGAAATATTGCAGTAACACTGCAAACGTTGCGGTAATATTGCCACAAGCTTTTTTGTTGTATAGGAACCGATATATATTTCCGAATTCTTAATAAAGGCCTACTGATAACATAAATCAATGGGTGCATTCAGTAGAGAAAACTAATCAGTTAGCGCTTAGTGATTCTTTAATACGATTAGTTCTTACACTTAGATTTTGCGAAGAACTAAAGACAAGAACCAATCATAGTGCTCAGTGAGCGCTCGTGGTACTGAATGCATCCATTGGCTGCGTTTAGCAGAAAAAGCAGCTTTGCAACTGTTGTAAAATTCTTGAATATGATTGATTTATACATTTAGATCCAATGAGGAACTAAGGGCAAGATAAACTAAGACCAATCATATTAAAGAATTTTACAACAGTTGCAAAGCTGCTTTTTCTGCTGAACGCAGCCATTGGGCGAATTCAAGACGGTAAGTCCGGATCTACAACAGGTGTTTTAAGACTTAAGCTGTAAGAAATTGACCAATTACAGTCGAATCCGAGGGGAATAATCGACTGTGATTCGCCCATTTCTTATGGTTTAAGGCTTAAAAATCTATTGTAGATCCAGGGTATATCCTCTTATTTCAAAAGGCTATTCGAGTTATTATAATAGAATTTTCTATAAAGGAATTTATTTTTGATTATAGCTCATGTCGCGGACTAAGCGCACGGTGTAAACGTAGCCATTACCTGATTAACTTGTGGTTAGGCTTAACCTGATGTTTTATCCAATGGGCTTCATCTGTGATGATGTCATGGACGAAACCCATTGGGTGAAACATCAGGTTAAGCTTAACCACAAGTTAACCGGATAATGAAAAACCGGGCCTCAATGTTCGCACATGTATGTATATATAGTTGTGTACATCCTTTCGTAAATAAATACAATACCATCCAGCGGAACACATACAGCATCTATGCAGGGTGTCGTATGATTATTGCTGTATTTAAATAATATTGAAACAATATCGACATGAGAATGGCAGTCGAATTCCACGTCTCCTGACAATCTCCGACATGTAATGTTTTCATTCAATCAGATTACTCAACCTCGAGATAACGCATTCCTAACCTCCAACATGGTGTGAATCTAGTTAATCGTTCATCGAGTTTTATATGATTTGACAGGAAATTCTGTTCCCACGTTCGACTAACAAATAAAAAGGACATCGTAAAACGAAACTGATTCACTTGGTATATCTCGCACATTGCTTGTGCAATTTGAAATTTCATGTTTGACAGCTATGGAAGATCAGATTCACTCGGAGTTAATTCTAAAGGAGGAACGGGAGGAGGACGAGGTCAAGGAAGGCCGCTGCTCTGCCG